TTGAGGACAACCAAACCAACAAATGTGCCGCTCACGGGGAACCTGTGCAAAGCTGTGCGCGTTCAGCAGCTCACCCACTATGGGGCGCACAGTCGTGGCAAGCCTTTCCAAACAGAGCCAGGCACGTCGGAAGCAGCGGATTGCATTTACCACCCCTAGCCACCCTGGCCCGAAAATGCACTTCCAACCCCCCCCCACCGACCAAGGGCCAGCAAGATGGGGGATCTTTCAGCTTCATTCATTCTCATGCTTTGGAAGGCTTTCAGCTTCGTTTCCCAAAGGTTCCTGTGTACTGTTACGGGGAATGCTTCCCCGGATCATGATAGTACCTATAGTCTCCATTGTAGTTCCTTTTTTGGTTAACCAAAATCTCTATCGTAGGATCCTAACCATCTAAGGTCACGTGCTATCGTGGCTCAAGCACCTATGAAGGGCACACCGAAGTGCGAAAGGGTCGTTGTGAATTGCAGTCCTCTTTCGGATGTGGACGCAGCTGAGGGTTTGAGTGTGAGCCTGGAGTCCCCATCATCTTTATGAATTCTAGTTACGATGCATTGGATGACACTCCTTATCAGATTCGTCAAAGGCTCCAGAACTCCAAGTCATTACTTGATCATCTCAGATGCTTCACCTCAACCTTTAAGCCCCAATCTTCAACAGGGTTATGAGTCCAAGCGTGCCTAACATACTCCTAAGCACTTCTCCATCACAAGCAGCAGCTCCGCAGCAGCAGCAGTCATCAGCGACCGCAGTGCAGGCCACAAGAATGCATGTGGACGAGACTAGTGTATCTTGGCAATCCATCACACAGCTGTCATTACCCTTGGACCAGCTTCGCGACTTGCAAGCATCGGTCACATTGGATCAGGGCGTGCTGGAGGATGTGCAGGCTGCACTTGTTGAGTTGTCATCGCGCATTCAACATCGCACCAATCTGTTGGGAGATGTATTGCGTAGTGTTGGAGGTGCCACCCATAAGCTCCAGGAAGGCTGTATTGCCCTTGAGAGTCAGGTGGCCCAGATGAATAAAGTGTTGATGGAACAGAGAGATGCCCTAGAGAGAGCACATCAACAACATCTTCGCGAAATCCAGGAACTGAGGCAGTGCGATCAAGAGCACGCGGGGAACATCAGAGCCTTGCAGAAGAGTATTCTTGATATGCATGGGCAACACGGTTCCGACATTCGCATTGTCCGTGAGCGCTTGGAGCAAGTCCAGGCGGAACAATCCCGACAGCAGGCCACTGCACTGGACGCAAATCTCCAGCAGGAGGCCATGTTGTCCGCAAAGTTGGAGTCCTTGCAGACAAGGGTTCAACAGCTAGAGGAGAACAACATCGTGTTGAGAAAAGCACTCGGGGATCAGAGAGCGCGCGCAGATGAGCATGAAGCCATTCTGTATGCCCAAAAACCTGAGGGATCAACGGAAGCATCCTACTTAGGCCCCGCAGTGCAAGCCTTGAGCGAGCGTGTAGATCGTGAATTGGCTAAGCTGGCCGATCAGCACAAGGAACTTGAAACACAGCAAAAGCACCTTGAATCCTTCACAGCTTCAGGGGACGCCTTGAAGGCTGAGGTGGAGGGAATCCAAAACATTGTGGAGCAAGTGTGTGATCGTTTTGATGCTTTTGAATCTGCGCAAAGCTATTGGCCGGAACACCCGCCAGGTCTCCAGACAGAGCCGTCAGGACACAACGCACACACATATCAGATGTCACCCGATGGCGATAACGCCGGGGACGCAGCGGAATCTGCTGTAGACGATCCGTGGATGGCTTGGCATCAGGGGCCCAGTGCACAGTTGCCTGTCATCACGGAGCCACCCCCACTTGCATCTCATTTGCGCAAGACAGAAGAGACTGCGAGGGAGGATGAATCACGTGAGCCGCGAGAGATCCCAGGAAGTCGGTGGAAAATTCTGCTAGAAGTACCACGATTTGATATGCCTAAGGGTCAACCGTGGGAAGTAGGCTTAGCATTTGCAGCGTGGAAGAGGCAGGTCTTAGCCGTAGCCGAAACGATAGATGGGGACTTCGCGGGTTACCTGGGAGATATCTTTTTGGCTGCTGAAGGAAGGCAAGCCAAACGAATGCGTGGGGAGGATCCAGGTCCTTTGCCTGAGATCCCAAAGCGAAGCATGGAGTGGGAGAATCGTGTAGTGGTTACTCTGCTGCGCGTGCTCCCAGAACAAATAAAAAATCATGGCATAGAGCAGGTTGATCAGGCGAGGATCCGCGCAATTGCATTGATGGAAGAAGTCTCCAGTATCCTTCAACCAGGAGGCCCCGAAGAGATAAGTTCCTTCATCAAGTTTATTCGTGCATTGGAGCCCGTCAACACGGCAAAAGAAGCCATGGAAGCACTCCGTAGGTGGAGGCTTGCGCGTCAGAGAGCTTTAGCACTTCGGTTGCCTGCCACGGCTCCCTCCGAGGAACTGCGCAGCATCAGCAATCTTGTGCGTCTCAAACTCGGAATCCTGCGAATCCAGCCTGCTGTGACTCAGGCCACCACTAAAGGAGTTGAGATGGTTCTTGAATGCATTGACGCTGAACTTAGAACGTTGGCTGCCGACGAGCATGTAAAGGCCAATAAGAGGGCAGTGGTAGATGACGCGGAAGCAGCTGCATTCAAGGGGAAAGGGAAGGGTAAGCAGGGAAAGGGCAAAACCGATAAGAAAAATCAAGTTTGTCCATTCCTCGCGAAGCCAGGGGGTTGTACCTTCGGGGATAAGTGTTTCTATAAGCATCCTGACCAACCACCTCGCAACCCACCGAACCCTAGTGCAAACCCAGATGCGAGACCCAAGAGTGAGCCAAACAAAAGAAAATGCATTTTTCACAGGCGTCAGAGCGGTTGTCGTCTTGGTGATGCTTGTCCATATGTGCATGAGGGTCCGTCCGGAGCCAACAAAACCGAGGGCCCGAAGGCGCTGGTGGGTGCAGGACAGGACGGTAACAACCAACAAGCAAAGGCGAAGGCTAAGGCATCAGCTATTTCCGTAGCCTGCATGATGCGTCGAGAAGGCAAGCGCAATCCGAGTGACAATGCCTCTGACGGAGCAGCCGATGCATTAGAGGAACTATCATCTGTGTCGTCAGATCATAGTACGCTGCATTCATCAGATTCCACACCATCTGTAGGAGAGTCCGATGTGCAGGCTTCTGACATAGATGAATTGGTCGGTGAGCTTGATTTAGCTGCTCGACTCGACGCCCCAGCATCGTTGCACGATTTGGAAGTGGCCATCAGAAACGCAGAGCAGGGTCCATCATGACGCACTTTCTACTTGATCCTTGATGAAGACGAGTACGTGAGGTGGAGACAGCCAGGGGTGGTGAATAGCCATGCTAGACGAGCGTTTCAGTTGGTCAACACACCGTACAATGTGGCACATGCTATCCGACATGCTGTGGATACTGAAGAACATGGTCTTCCAATTGAGAATCTCGAGATTTCTGACACACAAAGCATTGTGAGGATAGACCAAGCGTATGTCACCGGGGTAGGGCGCATCGCGTGTGAAACTTGGATTGCTTGGTGCATGGACTTCGAAACCGGAAATGAAGTCTTCATGGCAGTAGTCCACGGCATACATGACCCCGTGATCCGCACATTCCCGACACCTGACCGTGCAGTTGCAAGTCAAGCTAGAACATGCTAGAACGAGTACGGGTGATGATGAGGATACAGTTCTCCTGGACTCAGGTGCCAATGAAACGTCATGACCCGAGAGCGTTTCCCCCGAGATCTAGTAAGCTTGACCTTGCATTGGCCAACGGTGATGTGGTAGAGGCGCGGCGGGCGCGTGGCGGTGAAGTAATTGTGCAGGGTCCTGACAACAACAACATTATATGTGGCATCAATCGGCTTGTTCAGATTGGGTGTAGGTTCACGTGGTGTCAACAAGAAGACCCTGTGTTAGTGCTGCCCGCAGAGCTTGACAGCATTGCGGTACCACTTCGAGTTCACAACGGCCTGCCTTATCTAGCGTATGCGACCTTCCGAGCGCTGCGCCCCTTGATGACGAGGCATTGGCGAGCCTGTTGCAGCGTAGCCTTGAGTAAACCCTCTGAGCATGTTCAGGAGGAAACACATTCGGATGAACATTGTGAGCAGTGCATCAAACAAGCAGTCGCAGTGAACATCGAGGAGTTGCATCAGTGGTGCGCACAAACCCCAGCAGATGATGACCCAAACCCTAGTACCCTAAGAGATGAGGATTTAGGGTTTAAGCTCCCGCCGAGGGTTGATCCAAAAAATCCGGACATCTTGACCGATGAAGCCCGAGCACGAGATCTTCTTCAGAGTGGAGCAGACAACTTGACGTATGATTCGGTGCTAGCACTGTTGCGCGAAAGTAGCTTGAAACCGCAGATGAAATATCGTCAATGCGTCAAGGGTGAAGAGCATCATGTCAGGTCATGGTTGTTTGGAGCTTGGTCCCACGGTGGTTGTTCTGGTCTGTCTAGAATGACAAGAGTGCGTCCCTGGCTTGCTCGTGTGCTTGCGACCTTTATGAAGAAGTTGTGTCCATCGCTGGCGTGGTCGACGCTCGTGGTGAACGACAATGTTGCCTTCCTTCCACATAAGGATGCGCACAACTTTCCGGGATCATTGAATGGTTTAGTCTGCTTGACATCCGAGCGCGAATGCACTGGGGGGCAGCTGTGGATGCACCATGAGCAGGGTTCGGAGCTTAGGGAAATTAAGGCCAGAGTATCCATGCCACGATGTCTTCATGAAGTGAGGCGCAAACACCTTGTCTTCAATGGCAAGATCATGCATGGGACAGAGCCCTGGGAGGGTGATAGAGTAGCAATATCCACCTTTACAACAGGAGGCCTACTGCGATTGACAGAGCAGGACCGGCAAGTTCTCGTGAAGCTTGGATTCCCGCTGCCTGAGGTTGCTCTAGGGGTGCTAGCGGTTTAGACCCGAACCCGTGTGCTGCCGACCACACCCCGAAAGCCTTAGATAACGATTCTTCCAAGGCGGCAGTGATGACACGCGCTACGGAGGCATCAGCAGAAGCGGCAGCCACAAACAAGCAGCACCATCAACAATCGAATCAGAACTTTGAAACTCCCCAAAACCTGGGTCACGAAGAGTTCTGGGATGAGATATGTAGCGCTCAGGCGGAACAGGGTCAGGGTTCTTTTGTTTCGGACGGGGTTTCGAGGGTTTTGTTTGGTGAAGTCGTAGAAATTCCTGATGGTGACGCCCCCGTGACTGAGACAGAGCATCATGGAGGCACACCACTTGATGAGCCGTCTGGTGATGCGGATTTGTTTGATCTAGCTGCGTATCAGCAGGCGCTGGAAACCCTCAAGAAGAAGTGTCATGCAGGATGTTACGATAAAGACTGTGAAGCTTGCGTTCGTGCCAGAGGAGCCGTGAGGCCTCATCGAAGCATTAGCGACGACAGTAAGTCCTATGCCAATCTGTCTTTGGATATTTCAGGGCCTCATGTGACATCAGCAGACCAGATGAAGTACATCGTGATCGGTGTTTACCGTATGCCAAGCGGAAAGAATCTTTACTACGCGGAGCCCACGAAGACCAAGCATGCGAGCGCAGTGGCCGAAGCCACGGTGCGGATCATGGCGCAACTAGCATCGCTTCAGGTACCTCCAGTTTTCAGATTGCACACCGATTGTGGCCGAGAGTTCGAGGCACAGCTATTCCAAGAGCTTGGGACCCGATTCTCCACCTTTCACACCCAGTCAGCGCCCTATAATCCTCAATCAAACGGTCGAGTTGAAAGATGGGTACAAGCGCTCAAGCAAGCGGCCATCCGGGAGTTGGTTCACTCAGGTTTGAGTCCAACATATTGGACGTATGCCGTGCAGAACGCTGCGCCGTACTCTCGGATGCGGGCTATGGGTATTTCGGTGCTAAAGGAGACTCCGAGGATGGGAGATTGGGTGGCTGTCAAGCGGCATGATGCTGGCGACCTTGAAGAACGGGCTAAGTGTGGGGTTTGCATTGGTCACAACGTGAGCAGCGTGCATGGATCGTGGATCCTTTGCATGGTCAACGGTAGACTGAGAAAAGATGGTTAGAGCGCGACTTCCCGTGTTGCTTAACCAGCCAGCTGTCAGGTGGAAGGTCTCAGTGGATCCAACCAGTGATCGAAGAGTGTGGGTAAGCAGTGATGGTCAGGTTGTGTGGGATCAGGATGCACCTCGTGGCATTCTCACTGTGGAGGAGAGGCTTCACGGTCCGGATAGTTATCCCGAGAACCTGGAAAGGATCATCAAGCAGCGAACGCGGCCAAGAGGGCCACAGGAATCGCTGGAGCTATTCGCCACATTTGGTCACAGCCTCTTGGGAACGGAAACGCTCCCGGAGGACATAGGTCCAGAACCAGAGCCGCTGGAGCCTGAAACCATTGTTGTGGACAAACTGTCAGCGAACAAAGCCCAAGCTAATGTAGCTACAGCGCAACCAGCAGATGAGGTAGGGAAGAGCGGGAAGTACCACATCGCAACCTTTCAGGAGGAGCAACACGCCATTGAGGAGGAGATACACGCTATCCTGAGTGGTTTGGATCAGGCCTCCGGAATCACAATGACGAATGATGTCTTTAAGACCGGCACCGAGGATGAGATTCAGAAGTGGGTGGATGCAGCCAAGGAGGAGCTCAGCAACATGGACAAATTGCAGGTGTGGACACAAAGCTCATGGAATACACTGCGGCAGGACTTGGGTTTGAGTGCTTCGAGGACACATCGGCGCACACAAAGGAAGAGTACGCATCTTGCAACATCCAATGTGAAGGCCTACGCTTGATGTTCTCAGCTTTCGCAAACAATCCCGCATGGAGCGGACTAATCTTTGATATAAGCTGCGCCTTTCTGTATGCGAAGCTTCGCGGGGAAAAGGCCATCGTGGTGCGACCGGCACCAATCCTGATATCCTTGGGGTTGGTTCCAGAGGGAACTCTATGGATCTTGAGTCGAGCATTATACGGACTCAGACAGTCCCCGGTGGATTGGGAAGCACACCGGGATGAGGCAATCACAAATCTCATTCTTGATCCGTCAAAGGACGATGGGCATGGCGTCATGGTGTTTGAACCCATTCCTGCATGCAAGGGCCTGTGGAAAATTCTTGAAAGGGATACTGGAGTGTTGCTTGGTACAGCCACAACATATGTAGACGATGGATGGGTGATCGGAGACGCCGAAACTTTGCGAAGAACCGCCATTGGGATGAAATCGCTGTGGAAGGTCAAGCTACAAGGCCTTCTACAACATCCAAGCATGCCGGGAGAGGCAGTGAAGTGGGATGACATGACATGCCCCGTCAAATCTTCCTTAGTGTATCTTGGATGTCAAATTCAGAGGCTTATGGATGGCACAGTACAAGTCTCACAGCGTAAGTGGATCCTTCAGTCACTGGCTTCACGAGGCTATGTGCACATGAATGGCACAAAGAGTCTTCCGGATCCATGTGAGGGAACACTGCCACCGGAGACACGCGATGAGGAGTACAAGAGGCGAGTCAAACAGGGACAGGGCGAAGTGGGATCCTTGATGTGGGTTGGACTCCGCACCCGTCCGGATATCCTGTCAACGGTAGGATCGGCTGCGTGCATGTTGGTGAACAACCCGACTGAGACGCTGAAGCTAACCAAAGTGCTATGGCGTTTTCTCAGACACACGGTGAACCGGTGCATGCAGTACAAACCGTTGAAGACCGACCCCGAAATCCACATTCACACCGATGCTAGCTATGCCAATGGAGGCAGTCGGTCAAGAACTGGAATCACTGTTTCCATAGGTGATGGCTCTGATGCGCACATCATCGCCTATCTTTCAACGAGGCAGGCACTGACAGCGTGGAGTGCAACAGAAGCCGAGCTGGAAGGCATGGCGAGTGGTCTTCAAAAGGGCTGGCATGTGAAGCTATTGTTAGAGCAGATGTTGGACAAAACAATCAAAAGCACCTTGCATGGCGACAACAGCGGTGCGATCACGCTTAGCACCAGGGATACGTTCTCTGAGTTGGTCATGCGAACCCGGCATTTTGCCACTAGGACCAGCTGGATTCGGGATACTGTGGTTCATGAGGGAATCGATGTCGTGCACACCGGAACGAATGAGATCAAAGGCGACATTCTCACGAAGAGCCTGAGTTACCGAAAGCTGGAAAGTGCATGCGAGTTGCTGGGCCTGGGGGCCTGGAATTAAAGATTGCTTTTGACAGGCGTGTGGAAAGTCCACTGATTAGTACCATCGCTTAATGTTGTGCTGTCATTTTTGACCTGTTCGGAATGATCCAGCATATCGCGCGTGTCACGTGCGTATGCTGAGGAGGAGTGTTGTTGAGCAGTTGAGAACAGGATGACACGCACAAATCGGCAGTGGCATCGAAGCATGACCCCTGCGCAGGATGACACTAAGGTCACGTGCTATCGTGGCTCAAGCACCTATGAAGGGCACACCGAAGTGCAAAAGGGTCGTTGTGAATTGCAGTCCTCTTTCGGATGTGGACGCAGCTGAGGGTTTGAGTGTGAGCCTGGAGTCCCCATCATCTTTATGAATTCTAGTTACGATGCATTGGATGACACTCCTTATCAGATTCGTCAAAGGCTCCAGAACTCCCCTCATCCAAGTCATTACTCGATCATCTCAGATGCTTCACCTCAACCTTTAAGCCCCAATCTTCAACACTGGATAACCAAAAAAATACAATGGAGACTATAGGTAATTCCGAATATGGGAACCCTGCATTCTACTATATCACTACTTTGGACCCTTTGGGTTTGTTTTCGGCTTTAGGAAGAGTGCGTTGTCGCGCGGAGGCGGTTCCGACCTCAAGAGTTAGGGTTTGGGGTACTACGGCTGATGGTCAAAATCCTGCATGCTGCATTACTTCAAGGACCTTAAACTATGGGAATTATGGTATATTCCTCATTATGGGTACTGCAGGATTTTGATCAACAGTAGTGTAAGTTATGCTAGTTGCTAGAATGCAGCAGGTTGCTTCATGCTTCGTTGCTTGTGTCATCTCCTGTCGCTGGTGCAATGCTCCCCAAGTCCCGCGTGCACCCCATGTACGCGGACCTGCTCCAGTGACCCTAACCAAGTCTGAATCCTGTCCCCGATCTTTGGGGTTGCCAACCGAGGACGGCTGACTTGAGAAGCTTGTGCTGCACTACACACAACATCGGCACCTTGGCCGCCTGAGTACATATGCACGTAACCGTCATGTATGTATGTATGTATGTACGTAGATATGCATGCATGCGCGTGTGTGTGTGTGTGTGTGTATGTTTGCATGCATATGCATGGATGGATGGATGTATGTACCCATGTGTGCACGCGTGTGCACATACATATATACACACATGTACACGACCAGGCTGCTACCACATATGATCCCAAGGGTTTTGCGTTTAGTTCCCGTTATGGTAAGTTGGGTATTTCTGTCAGTGTACCCAAAATAATCTCCATCTTAGTTGTTTTTTCTTTTTAGCCGGTGTTGCACACTTGTTGCACTGTAGGATCCTATAGGGTCTCCATTGGGCAGTCCCGTAGTATCCTTGTGTTTTCAACTTCCAGCTTTTCGCGGTTCGCGACAGTCTTGTCGAGATGCTTCCCAGGCTGTACACAGCATTTCTTGGCGAGGCCGCCAACCTCGCCGGGGATGCGCCTGTGCCTGGCAGCCGCCAGGGACCGATGAGGGCCTGCATGGGCGCCTCCGTAGGACACGGTACGTTGTTGACCTAATGCGGCCGGAAAAAGGTGCGTGAAAAAAAATAAAAATTTGCAACCGTTTGTTCCACCAAACCATTCACCCGGAGGAGAATCCACCATCTCCTCCCGGTCACCGATTTCCGACGAAGTAAATCGACGCAATCTCTCTTGCAAGAACTCACATCTGCAGTGCGCATAGCTTTTCTGCGCGAGCCGTCCGGCGCGTACGCGGCGGCGGACGACAATGCCATATGGCGGACATTGCAGCACTTCCTTTATGAGCCCGACGCCGAAATTGAAGGCTGGGGTGCGGCGCGCTGTCTGGCTTTCCCACCCTTGTTGAATCTGTTAGACAGCTTGGAGCTTTGCTATCACATTCTATCGCGAGCGCCTCCTGTCCAGCCTGAAGGATCCTAAAGGCCGATGCCCATGCGCTGCTGCGTACACAGCATTTCACAGCCAGGTGACCACGCTGGCGAATGGCTCAATGCTGCATAATGCTGCCATCCCAGCTGACGTTGGCAGCACGTTCGCGCTGCCCGGGATGCTTATTGCTTGGCGCCGACGCTTGCGCCTCCCTGTTGCTTTGGAAGCTGCTCGGTGGCAGCTCCTGCGTGGATGTGCTCGGCAATCGCAGCCAAGCTGGCTCGGCCTGCCCCGATCCTGGAGCATGGTCGCTCGCGAAGCTGTCGGCACTGAAGGCCCCGTGGTGCCTCAGCAGAGGCTTTGGCACACCACCAGTCCTCGGAACCCACCTGCCGATCGGCGAGCCGGCTGGAAACGTCGTTTTATATGGCGCCGCCGCGCGCGGACAGGCGCTGTGCTGCGACGTAGTTGCGACGTCATGCTCATGTCGCCATTGCGTGCAGATGGAAGCAGTCGGGACGACGGTGCGGCTATCGAAAACGCGACAAAAAAAAACGCGCAGCGCCATAAGCTCGCGCGATACCTGAGCTTGCCCGGCCCGGACCGCAGCGGCTCGTGGTGCTGGCAACAGCTGGCATCCCAGGTCGGTGAGCGCCGGGCAGCGATGGGCAACCGACACTGAACGAAGCGAGATTTTTGAGCCGACGTTACCGTGTTTGCTACCGTTGCACGCCCTGTATTCGGCGTAAGTAACAGTAGACTAAGTGAATGTGCGTCGAATCATGTCAAGTCACCCAGTGATTACTGTCACGAGTTTAGCAACTTCCTTAGGCGTTCGGTAGCTTGAGTTCCGGAGCTCATTTTCTTATATTTTCCTTTTTGCAGGAACCAGGCCACGGTCACAACCGGTTCCCGTCTCCCAGTGGCGCAAGCGGATTTCGGCGTAGTCGGGTCGGCTTACGAGCGCCGGCGCATGCAGGCTAAACTGCGCAGACGCGAGGAGGTGGGAAAAGTGAAACTTCGACCCAGGTAGCTCGGCACTAGTCTTCAACTCCACAGGCCTCACGGCAAGCCTGCCAAGGAAGAATAAAACCAGAGCAGAGCCTCGACAAAGCGAGGCAGATGGCTGACTGGGGCCGTTCCCTGCCCGGCAACCAGGGTCGGAAACTCAAGTTCATCGCAAAGACTGCCGTGGCGGTGGTGGCTGCACCATCCTTTCTGCCCCTTGAAACCTTGCGCAACCTCGACAAGCTGCAGACTTAATCCGTACAGATCTTCGGGCCAAAATAGGCATGGCCATTTCCACCGGCTGCTGGACGGTCACGCAGCTTCAACACGCTTTCGCCATGGCGTGGTTGCCATTACTCTCAGGTTTTCAAGCAATGTCATTTCAGCGGCCCAATCTCTTTGCCGAGACGCTGGCTTCAGCGACGCGGCTGGGCGGAAGTCGCTGCTGGGCACAGGAGGCATCCTCTCACCCAGTGCACGCTGGGTGCTCAGCCCCTAGTGGGCGCATGTGGGCGCCGGATCTGTGCAACTTTAGTCTGGCTGTCGAGGTGCCAGCTGTGTCGCGGTAGGCACAGCTGTCGACCTTGATGGCTCATCTGTCGGCCGCAACGGCTGGCTCATCTGTCGACCTTGATGGCTCAGCTGTCGAACTTGATGGCACAGCTTTCGCGCTTGATGACGGCCTCAGCCGCTCCTCCACAAGCAGCGACGAAAGAAGTCGGTGCTGTCTATGGGGACGCCGACCGCGACAAAGCCGCGGTCTGCCAAGTCCGCTTCACCGCACCACACGGCTCGACACGGCTGGCCCGAGCTCTGCAATGCCAGGCGGCGGAGGGCCTCTGGAACCTTGTCATCCTTTCCCCCACCAGCGGCACAAAGTGCCGTGTCAGAGCGGCCGGCGATGGCTAAGTAGCCCAGCATGGGAAGCAGGCATCAGGTCAGCAAGGTGTGCTTTGTAGGCGATTGAAACGGCGCCGGGTCTCCCGAGCTTACGCCATGCTTGCAACGCTGGTGCAACCATGTGCAACCGGCAAACGGAAACCCAACTGGGGGCGTCATAGCCGACATCTCGCACGTGCGCATGTGCTACGACCTGCTTGACATGCAGCATGGAAAAGGAATGACGCCGTCTGCGGTCCGGCCTGCCAAAGAACAAATGGAAAACAAACGTCATTGCACCGGCACGATGGTTTGCCCCGCCACTAACTGCAAAGTCAGCTTGCAGCATCCCGCGGCCATTCCGTTTGCTCAGCGCACCGCACGAGAACAGGCATGAAGCCGCCACAAGCAGTTGGTTTGCTCCGCCAAACGCCAGAAGAAACAATAAGATCCTGCAGGGCTCGCTGCTTCTGGCTCAAAGTGGATACGGCGGCAAGAACGACTGTCACGACGCGCGGCTGCTGCACATGGGATGCTAATGGATGCGACTATGGACAGCGTCGGCGGTTACTCAATCGGGGCATGGTGTGTATGCCGAAGATGGCACTGCAACGCTGTCCTAAATGTTGAAGCCCGTGATGCCATGAGCCGCTTCACAAGTCGCTGGGGATCTTCGTTGCAACGTCCGCCGATATCAGCCGCGCAGCAACCTGGGCCAATTCACGGTAAAGCGCCAGCTTACGGCGGCGTGCCATTGCTAATGCTTCTGCTGGGAATTTGAAGGCCTTTTCCATCCCTGCTGGGAACTATACAACCCAGGGCGCGAGCTGGTGGATGCAGAATGCACAGAATCTCAAAGCCTCGCGCTTCGTGGCTGCGCCATGGATGACCAAGTCAAACCAAGTCCATGCGGTTGTCGGCGGCAACACTGCTGCGAGCCACAAAGGCAAGCTTGGGCGTGGTATGGCGTGGTCCTGCTGACATCCGCAGAACATTGGCAACGGCATGGCAGCACATCACACGGGCCCCTTGAAAAACGAGTTCTGCGGACGTTTTGTCGCCATGCACGACATCTGCACCTGTAGTGGGCCAACATGCTTGCCGGCCTGCCACCCACGTCATATCTAGGCACGGACGGTGCATGAGTCACGTTCGATGGTGCGTGCATGCGCTTGCGATTGCATCCAAGACATCGCGGGCACGCAAGGATGTGGTAAGGACATGAACGTTGCTTTGGT